AAATGATGTTTTCTAACGTCATCCTTAACAGAAGGGGTGATTGGCGGATTTCATGTAGTAGAAGGGCTGATTTGCCAGTGTTTCTTGTACAGGGGCTGAATTGCCACAACATTGCAGGTACAGGGGCTGAATTGCACCTTCTGCCTTTCATCAACTACTGTATTACTTGTCCTACCAAACCCCACTTCTTTCACTTTCCTTTGCATCTTAATGCATTTTCCAAAAAATGAAAAAATAAAAATAAAAACTCAATTTTGGGTACTTTTAAGCGTCCTTTTATATCATTACTATTTAATAAATTTGTTAACTCAACTCAATTAAGATTCAGATGATATTTTATTCATTTAAATAATTTAAGAATAATTTTTTAATATAAATAAATAATTTTAAATTTAAATTATATAATATATAATTTAAAAAATTAAAAAAATAATTTTTTATTATATAATTTAATATTAAAAAAAAACTTTCAAATGATATATGTAAAAAAATATAGAAAAACTGTTCATTTTTCCTTTTTGATAATATTAAAAAAAAACTTTAAAATGACGTATGTAGAAAAATATAGAAAAACTGTTCATTTTTCCTTTTTGATAATGAGATGCAGTGGCAGGTCTTGTATTTATTTTTCTCTGTATAGTTGGTAGTGGTCCATAGCATAAAAGAAGAAATCGAAAATGGCAAAAGCTTTTGATTGAAGTAGCAAGCACGAGTCATGTGAATTCAAAGATGTCAGATTGTTTTTCGTCGCCCCCCCACACTTGTCAAATATCCTCAACAGTGTAAAAATCTCGGCATCACTTTCCATTTTGATTGATGAATTTGGAAAACCATCATGAGTACTCATTTCAACATCAAAGAGTGATATTTTGTTTAAAATTATACTTGCCCATTGATGTAGCATCTGTGATATGATATGATATGATATACCTGTTTCTCATTAAATCAAAGAGATGGGGGGTGATCTCCACTCCACGTGGTACTATAACTTAGTTCAGATAATAATTAGTTAGAAGAATGTTGTAATAACTCTAAGTTCTAATTTATTCTTAAGTAAATATTATTTTGTAAATTAAATTAAAAATTTAAATTTTAAAATTTATTTTTTAAATGTATTAAATTAATAAAAAAATATGTTTTTAAAATCATTTTTAAAAAATTTATTTTAAAATATATGAAAATTAACTTGAGACATACATACGGTAAATAAAAATTGGGGTCATCTCTTGAATGCGAGGTATTTAGTACTTACCAGATAAAGTTAGATGAGGCTTCAGTATTCGCAATCAATATCTCACAAGGAAATGAAAAGCAGGTCCTACCTCAACAGCATGCACCTGTTAATCGTAACACATACAAGCTGCCATAGGTTATGAAGACCAATTTTGACAAGTCCTTTGGACACACAATGGGGTCAAGCTAATATTCTCTCTAGTGTTGCA